GGGCCCTGGATCAGGGCCTCTGTTCCAGTTAGCCGTCACTCCAGCTGGACTCAGAACCCCTTTGGCTGCTCACCACCATTCAAAAGAAAAGAAGTGGGATATGGTTGTGCATACCTTTAGTCTAAGCAGGGGGAAGGGAGGGCAAGGAAGAGGAGGGGAGGGGAGGGGAGGGCAGGGGAGGGGAGGGGAGAGGGGAGGGGATGGGGAGGGGATGGGAGGAGAGGGGAGGGGAGGGGAGAGGGGACGGGGAGGGGAGGAGAGGGGAGAGGAGGGGAGGGTAGGGCAGAGGAGGGAAATTCTAACCCCCGCCCCAACTGCTCCTTGGTAGCCTGTTTCATACATTCTTCTATATAGATAGTCTATAATAAAAACTATAAGAACTAGATCTAGTGCCCTTATACCAACTTAATCACCACAAGATTTTAAAAAGAAATCAAACTGTTCCTAGCTTTAAAGGTATAGGGCCTTCTCAAGTATATCATTTCAAAAAACAAACATCCCTAAAACTGAAGTCTGGCAATATATAGCATTGTATAGATACAACGTATTTATACTCATAAAATATTCTGAAATAGATTATTCCTTTTATTACGCTTCTTCAAGGCTATACATTTTCAGCTTTGTAGAATAGGTTTACTTGCCTCGTAAACAAATAAAAACAGGTGATGGTGACACCAAGGTAGCCTATGAACATGTATGTATGCTTCCTCCTTCCTTCTTCCTTCTGAGAGATTGGTTATTCCTCTGAGGGCCTTGTGCCTACTAGGCAAAGCTCCACCACTGAGTTCCACCCAGCCCCTTCTTAAGTTTTTAAAAGTTTTGTTTTATTATTACTATTATTGTCTTTTGGAGACAGGGTCTTTCTATGCAGTCTAGGCTGTTTTTGAACTCACAGTGATCCTCCTGCCTTAGCCTCCTCAGTGCTGGGATTACAGACATGTATCACAATGCCCAGCCTTTAAATTTTTATTTTAAAACAAGAGTCTTACTAAATTTCCTGGGCTGCTGTCTTGCTTGTGAGCCTCCCGCCCCAGCCTCTCAAGGAGCTGCAATTACAGACTGGATGTCTGCTTTCACTTGTTGGGTTTTGTTTGTTTGTTGACTGACCCACAACACTGGGACTGGATTCAGAGCCTTAGCACTGAGCTGCATTTCCGGTGAGTATTTTATTCTGAGACTGGGTCTTGCTAAGTCACTAAATTGTCCTGCAATCACCCAGGTCCCATTAATGGGACCTTGAATTTATGATGCTCCTGCCTCAGCCTCCCAGAGTGCTAGGATCATAGGTACTGTGCCACCATGCCAGAGTATATGCTTATAGTTTTAGTCACATAAAATGTTCAGCAAAATTTGTGGGATTTTTGGGTTATTCTCTTGGGGAGACTTTTTGTTGTTCAGTAAAACTAAGCCTTTGCTTCTCTAACATTTCATTATATTCTAGAACTAGCCTATTTCTAATTACAACAATTACAATTACTAACTCTCATAAATTAGTAAGAACTCAATTAAGCCCAATGAAGGGTGGAAAGTTCCTCAGTGATAAAGTCCACGCTGAATACATGCAGGCCGATTCACTTAAAATCTAACCCTAAACAAGCCAGCACCTCCCCTCCCTGGTAAGCGGAGGCAGGTGGCAGACTGCAGCCCTTCCAGGGGGAGAACCAGCAGTGTCTCCTGAGATCCGCCATGTTGGAACTGAGGACACTGTGAAAACAAATGACCATCCTGCCTCCCTGCTTAGCAATAGTGAACCTACTGCTACATGGCCTAGAGTCAAATATCCCACTTCCCTGATCTTCCTTCTCCCCCTACCCCCCGTCCATTAGCAAATGGGAACCAGAAATCTGGCCATCTCCTGGGAGGTTGACCATAGCAAATAGGGGGGACTTCCTTCTACCATTTCTTTGAAGGCAAATATTTTTATTACTGTTTCACTCTTTTCTGGTTAATGGTACTGCTCTATTCAATATTCTGTTTTGATAAGTTCTATAGTGTTCTATATTTCATCTCATTTTGATATATGTGATTGAAAGAACAACTATTATAAAGATAACAAAGTATACCATGATACCTATTACTCTTATCCTGGTAACTTGCTGTGAAGTTCTGTACCAATTTCCCTGTATGATCTTAGTTGGCTTTATTCTGACGTGTTCTGTTGTATACTTTCAAAATAAAAAAAAAATTAACAAAAAAAAAATCTAACCCTAAGAAAACAAGACAGGGCTGAGGCTACAGTTTAGCAGCAGAGCACCTGGCTGGCAAGGTCAAATACCAAAAAAACCCAAAAACACCTGCCAGGTGTAGTGGTGCACTCCAGTACTCCCAGCACTCTCCAGGCCGAGGCCAACCTGGACAACCTAGTGAGTGTGACTATGCAGTGAGACGCAAAGGAAGAAAGAAAACAGGACAAGTATTTCCGGGATACCTAAGCAAAATGTGCCTTTTCCTCGTGGACTGGGCTGCGTCCTCTGGTGCATAAGCTACACCTCTGAGCCTCCCAGCAAGGCACAGAATCAGGCCTGCTGTGGGAACACAGCAAGAGAACAAGCTAATGTGCCTGCACACACAAGGTCAGCCCTGCAGATGAGCCCGACTTCCCAGAGCAGGGCCTCCTCAGCTTCTTGCCCCTGCAACAACTAACGGGCGTGAACACCACACCACTCAGCACCCTGCCCTTCCTTTCTAACCCACACACCTCCTTCCTCACAGATGCTGCTTCATCTTTTCTTAGCTGTCTCAATCCAACAAGCAGAAAGCTTAGTATGCCATTATCTCATACCCAGGTTATAAACCAAAACCTACTTGGAGAAAGATGCTTTTACCATTTTAGTAACTTAGAATGCACATGAAAGTGTTCTGCAGATAACAAAGTGCTTCACAAGGTAACGAGTTACTAAGCTTACAAGGCAGGTGCATGTGCCATGAAGTACCACAGCACCTCATCTTTTATGTGATGCCTGCAGCACAAGTTACTTGTCCAGGTCAGGCCGGTACCTTGCTGTAATTATAAGCTCCCATACAGGATACAAGCACATTTTTAACTTTGGTTATAGGTTTCAGTTTTATTGCTCTTAAAATGTACACATTATCTCCAGATTAACAAAAAACAACCTCAACGAAGAAAAGATCACAGCTCACCTGTTAAAATCAGCCTCTTGCTTGACTACACCATGGGAGGCCTCTCCTTGTGAGGCCTCCACACAGCATATGAACACAACCCCAGGTCAACAGACTCTTATCACTGTCTTGGAAAATAAGGATATGCTAGATAAAGACCTTCAAATTTTGATAGAGCATGTGTGCATGTGCCTATAACCTGAAGGTCCCCAAAGCCAGCAGGCTACATAGTTGCATGGAAAATATTCTAGACACCATCCTTTTTACTGAGTCCCAGGCTCCACAATGCTCTTGCCTTAAGACTTCCTGAAGCAGATAAACCTGGTATCCACCCTAGAGGGTTCTAGATTCACAGTAGACAAATATATAAGACAGGTAGAATGAGATACAGATTTGTGCAATGATTTTTTTTTTTTTGTCTTTTTTGAGACGAGGTCTCACTATGCAGTTCAGGCTGGCCTTGAGCTCACTTTGTAGCCTAGGCTGATTTCAAACTTGCAATCTTCCTGCCTCAGCCTCCCGAGTGCTGGGATTACAGGCGTGAGCCACCATGCCCGGCTATGCGCAACACCCGGCTATGCACAATGATCTTTAGAAAATGGAATATAAGGAAGAATTTATTTTGATATCAGGAATATTTCTGAGTGGCACAAAGATGATGACACTGAAACCAAAGAGAGGACAATATGCTCATGTACACCACATGGCTCTGCAGCACATATATGCGAAATCTAAAGTAACTACTAAGTGATAATCTATAGACCAGGTATAAAAGGCTTGGTTACAATCAGACAACAGCATAGACATAAACAGTCAACCTTAACATTCAAGTCTGCTACAAATGAAAGAATCAGAAAGTAGGAAGGTAGAGAAAAAGGTGAGGGGCCACTACCCTTTTATGACAAAGAGGGAAGCCCAGAGACTCTGCTTAAAGTCTTTAGTACAAGAAACAGAGACTTAAGTACAGGTTAAATATCTCTACTCCAAATTCTGCCACTTTTTGAGTGCTGACCTAATTTCCGGACTCATGGTGCTCAACCAATAAAGTCTGCAAATATTCCAAAATCTGAAGCGCTTCTGGTTCAAACGTTGTGGAAAAAGGGTCTTTGATCTGTGCATCATTAGCAGTCACACAGGTGTCAACAGAAGAACTAAGGTAGCAAGTCAGTACTTGCTCAAATTTAGCTGAGAAGCCTGTGTGTGACCCGTGGGCTCCACACTGATACGAGCATCCACCTGGGCTACACACCTTGCTAATGGCAAAGTAGAAAAACCAACTAATTCCCCAGCCTTAGCGTTAGTTTGAGAAGCTGTTACTAAAATTTCCAGAAAAGAGCAAGCTGTAAACTTTCCTACGCAGTGTACTCATTCCTTCACTGCACACCAGCAAGCCTTAGAAAGAAGCTGTCGCCCTCTTCCTCACCAATAACCAGTGCCAGGCCTGCTGACACAGGTGCCAAGGAGGCCTCACACCCCAGTAAGGTGCTCAACAGACTTTGCACCGGCAGGTGATCGGAACAGGAAAACGAAGCCGGGACCTTAAGTCCTGCTCCAGGACTGCGAGAATGCCTGTATCAGGCAGGTCAGATCAGGAGACGCCATCTGCTCATAGACCACAGTGAGACTGGCAAAACCACTCGGGCTGCTTTTTATGAATACATAAAATGTTTTTAAATACTCAGTAGAAAGGCAACTTCTATCCCAAAATAGTTCTTTAAAAGGCAACGATCACCCAAAGCTCTTTACTTCTCAGGGCGGGAATGGAGCCAGTGGCAGTGCCTGTCTACCACACACAAGGTCCCAGTACAACAGCAAGCCACGCATTAGTTCCTGTAAAAAGAATTTTAAAAATTCAATTCAATTCACCATGACTTACTTACCCCATTCTCAGTACGTTTTTCTCCAGGTGCATTCATCACATTTCTCTGAGTTCTTTGCTCTTGAGCCTGGCGGCCACCTAAAAAAATAAAAAGACCAAACTTACTAAAAGTCGTATCACAAAAAACAATTCTCCCATACTTTCACTCATTCAAACATACTGAACACAGGGTAAAATGCCAAGTTAAGAAATTCAAGATTTAATACAGCTTTACAAATGCAGCCAGACATGGTGGTGCACGCCTGGAATCCCCGCACTCGGGAGGCTAATGCAGGAGGATCGCTGTGAGTGCAAGGCCAACTTGGGCTACAAATCAAGACCCTGTTTAAAAACAAAACAAAACAACTCTGTCGTCTCTGCTCTGTAACAGCTCTCCTGCCACGGATCCTCACCCCCTGAAAATGTATGCCTGCTCCAGATTGCTTTCCACCTGTCTTTGGTCAGGAGCACCAGGCGCTGAGCCCACCACCATCTCCTAGTGCTGCAAATCCCAAGGACACTGACAGATGAGCGCCTCAGCAGCTCTGCAGTCCCTCACCCTGTGGCCTCACTTGTCCTGAGCTACAGCTTCCAAACTAGCATCGCTGCAAGGGATGTGACACAGCCGCCAGGTTTGCTGGGGCCGGGCTGCCACCGCTGGGCTGGCATGGCACGGCGTTTGGAAGCCTCGTCCCTGGTTATGCCAGGAACCTCCTTCTCTGCAGCAGCGGCTCTTCTCCTACACCACTCCAGACTTGGCCCTCTCGGAGGCCACGGGCTCTTCTGCCCGATGGTGGCTTTGTCATCCTCTTCACCATGGAAAGGGGCCGTCTCTACCTCAGAATTTTTCTCAATACTAGGGACTGGTCCAGGGCCATTGAAGTAAGTTAAATCTCTAGTTCTTTTATTCAAACACTTTTTGGGGGTGGGGACCAGGTCTCGATAAGTTGCCCGCGTTAGGATCAAACTTGTGACCCTCTTGCCTCAGCCTCCCATAGCACCATGCTTGGCAAAATGGCAAAGGTGGTAAATCTTGTATATACCTTAACACGGTTTAATTTTTTTCAAGAAATTTTTATATTTTGAGGGGATTAAGGTAGAATGTATTATACAGTAATAATAAAGAGGAGGAGGAGGAGGAAGAGAAACCAAAAAACCTGATCATTAATTGGATAAAAACTGACATGGCACATTCTCTCCAATTTGGCAGTCTTAAGAGTTCCTGTTTGTTCTGTAAAAACTGAAAGTTGCACTTTAAAAAGTATCAACTTAAAATCGAAAAGTCCTTGATGTGCCCCATCATAGTCTTTTTTTTTTTTTATCGGTTCATGACCGCCTGCTTGCAAGGCAGGTGCTTATGCCACCATCATAGTCTTTAAACAAAGCAGGTGGGGTGAGGCCTGTGTGGCTCATGTGCGTGTGCACATGCACTTGAGTGCAGAGGGGCCCACGTGGTCTGCAGTGGTGCCACAGAGGATGACGGTCCCCAGAGCTGCTGGGCCTAATGCAGAGATGAGAAAGGGCCAGAAATGACAAGGAGTCATTCCTGTGTAGGAGCCCTACACATCTTTACAGGATAAACCAAACAAAGAGAGCCAGCTCAGCAGCATAGTACCTGCTTGGCAAGCACAAGGTCCCAAGTTCAATTCTTAGTACCAAAAAAGAAACAAAGAAAGAAAGAAAGAACAAGATATTCAAATTAGGGCTTGTCACGGACCCATCCCATCCGCTCTCTGTAGGCTCCAAGGAACTGTGCACAAGGAGAATCGATACATGGTTCAGACTGGCTGTAATTCACCATGTTTGCCAGGCGGGTCTTGAATTTGTGGCAATCCTCTTGCTTCAGCCTACCAAGTGCTGTAATTATGGGTATGTGCCACCATGCCCAGGTTGGTCTTTATACCCCAAAGGGTTTCTCACCAAGAGAAACTATAACTGCTTGTTTGCTTGTTGTGAGACAGTCTCGTTCTGTCATTCAGGCTGGCCTCAAACTCGCAATCCTCCTGTCTCATGAGTATTGGGATTATAGGACTGCACCACCACAGCTGACTAGAAACTGATATTTAAGTCTGTATGAGTGATTTATTTCATTTAACCTTATGATTGTATTTACCACAAAATCTAGACATTCGACCCATCCAGTACTTATCAGAAATGATCCCTTTACAAAACAAGTCTGTTTATAAGTCTGAGTGCACTGTCTGAAACGCAAGTGAGGGCCGGTGCCTAAAGAATGGACCGGAGTCCAAACCACGTAACAGAGTCCAGGAACCAAAAGGCACCCACTCCCCTCTTGCCATTTGTGAGTGAAGGGGAAAAAAACACGTGAATAACCCACTTTGGTATTTTTCCATTTTTTCTTAAATTAACTGGTACGGCAATCTTGTACACCCGAGAAAGCGTCTACCTTGTTCGCTGCTCTCAGCTGGAGAGTCCTCATGTCGAAGGAAAAACTTCACCTCTTCCCTTCGAGGCCCCCACTTCTGCAGGTGCTCATACATCATGTGGTCGAAGGGTATGGGGCGCTCTAGGAAAAGATCACACCTTACTACTCCAGGAGCAACACAGCTCTGGCCAAAAGTAAAAATAAATACAGACATATATACACAAGCACACACATGTATGTACATATTAGAATACAAGGACACTTTTAAGCACTGAATTTTAACTTCCATGAATAAAAGCAGAAATAAGAAAGGGAAATAATTAGGTAACATACAAACAAAAAAGGCACATAAAAGAAATCTGCAACATGTATTAGGAAACAATGAAAACATGCCTTTTACCATATTAGCATATTACAAAGTAATGTTTCCATTCTGCAAAGAAGAAACAAACTGGCCAACAAACTGGCCGACAATCTTACTCCCTAAAATGTAACACAAAGCTATTATGCTTGGAAGGCTGACTAGGGCACTTCCTGGCAGCTCAGGAAACCCTGCTGTGAATGTCTGCCTGCACTGAGACCAACCAAAACTTACCAAGTTAATAACAATTAAATGAAAAATTTTAATGAATGCTTCTGTAAGTTAAACAAAGCTCACTAAAATATCATCAAGTTATGACTGGCCTGGCATATGAATACTGTGCACAAATGAAGTAGGTTATGGCTGAGACTTAGGTTTAACTTACAACCAAAGTCTCGAGTTATGACACAGATGCTGGCCACTTGGGCTTCCAGATGGGCTCAGATACAGATGAACCCTCAAAGGGTTCTGGAAGGAGCATTACAAAATCCTTTCCGGTGGGGGGTTCACTGAGAAACCCTGGGCCAGTGTCTCCTGAGGACACTGAGCTCTGCCTGTGTGCAGGAGAGAGGCTCTGAAGGCTGCAGAGGAGCCTGAGCCCCCAGATGAGAAGCTGGGTTACAGCCGACATTCGCAGCTGCACCTCAGAGTCAGGAGTCCATGCATCTCTTTACCAATTACCTGAGAACACTGGCACTGCAATTGAAAGGTAAAGCTCCCTTATGTTTATAATGCATTCTGTTTCCCACAGCTGTAAACTGTGCCAGGTACTATGAGTCAGTTTTTAAAAATCTGTATTACATGTCTTTCTTAGCTGTATTCAGTTCTTTATGTGAACAGTAATTCCTTTTTTTTTTTTTTTTTTGTCTTTTTCATTTTTATCGGTACTGGGGATCGAACTCATGACCGCCTGCTTGCAAGGCAGGTGTTTATGCCACTGAGCTAAATCCCCAGCCCCTGAACAGTAATTCTTGATCAGTTAACATATACTGACCACAGGCTTGTCTTTTAAATTTCCTGGTACAGTACCTTTTTTGTGTGAAGTTTAAAAGCTTAAATGTAAGCAGTTATCAACCTTCTCCAAATTTTGTTTTGGCTTATTTTCTGAGACAGGGTCTAACTATGCTGCCTAGCATGGTATTAAACTCCTGGGCTCAAGCAATCAGTCATCTTGCCTCTGTCGCCCTGCCTCCCTAAAAATAGTCTGCTGGATAATTTGAATTTTTTGTACAACAAATACTTTTGTACTCCAAGGTAAAAAAAGATAGTATTGTCTTACACTTTTTCTACACATTTTGAAGTTCTGCTGTTTACTGACCTTGGGGTCTTACGTCTGCGTACGGGGAGTAGAGATCTGACTGTGTGTTCCTATTGAGTCACCAACTGTCCCAGCACCATTTGCTGGACAGTTCATTCTTTCTCCAGGACACACAACCCCTGCCCCTGACCCGGATCCGGCTCCATTCGCGGACAGGGTTTTCCTGAGCTGTCTCACTCTGTTGGCTCGCAGTCAGCCCTGTGCCGAGTCCCAGCCCTTCTTACTGCTGTACAGGGCGCGGATCCTTCCAGAAGCCGAGGCTGCGAAGTGTCTTGCCATTCCCTCACCCTGCTCTCTCTGCATTTCAGCAATAACTCGTCAAGATCTTTTTTTTTTTTTGAGGTGTAATTTTGACTAAAGGTATTTTTATTTGTAGGTAAACACAGAGAGTCTCGATATTTTCATGATTCTGAGTTTTCCAGGCCATGAACCTTGTTTGCTTCCATTTTCCCACTTCTGTTTTTTCCATTTGTTTCACCTTGTGTTCTTCAATGATGTTTTGAAGTCTCACCACAAAGGTCTGCACATAATAATTTATTTCTCTGAACTTTTTAGATTTTGGGTTTCATATGTATCTTTTAAAAATTTTGGAATAATTTTAGACTGACAGAAAGGTTGCCCAGATAGCATAGAAAGTTCCTATATACTTTTCACCCACTTTCTTTTAACACTTTTGTTTGTTTTTGGAGACAGGGTCTCACTGTGTAGTTCAGGCTGGCCTTGAACTCAAGGACTGCCTCCTGCCTCAGCCTCCCAAGTGCTGAGATTACAGGTGTACACCACCACGCCTGGCCAGAAACAGTATTTTTATCAAAAATAAACAATTTATACCAGCATGTCACTGATAATTAAATCCCAAGCTTCATGTGAACTTCATCTAGTATTCAATCATGTCTCTTTCCTGTTCCAGGATCTGAACTGGAAAACCACACTGCATTGCACCCTGTTGTATCTCCCGCACCCTCTGGGCTCCAGTGCTTTCCCCCTCCTGTTCTTTAAGACCACGTCAGCTTGGAGAACCGCCTCTCACTCAGGTATGTCTGGTGTCTTCCGCCCAGTGAGACTGAGGTCGGAGGTGCTGGGCAGGGCAGCGCGGGTCCGCCCACTGTGCTCTCCTCCAGGGAGCTCCGCACTCCTCTCCACCCTCTCTTCTTGGGAAGCGAGCCACCGACAGCAGCCCGCATAAGGACCGGAGGGTGTTTCTGCGTGGGTTCTTCTGTGCCCTTCTTTAGTGTTCCTTCCCCTCTGTGCTCGTTTGCACTGAACCGCTTCCCTCAGGAAGGCCTGAGCCCAGGTACGGCTGTGCTGAGCTCTAACCCAACAGGTGTTACCCTGCGGCGCACAGTGCTCAGTTCAGCCACTGGGAATGCATCCGAGTTGGCTCCTGTGTCCCTCCAGGGCACCCCAACTTTATTGGGCAATGCTCTCTTACCTCCTGCACAATATGATACTCCAAGTCCATCTGCTCATCCTGTAGTTGTGCTTTTGTTTTTGTTGGGTCTTGTGCTGCAGTTCAGGCTAGCCTTGAACCCTCAGTAATCCTCCTGCCTCTGCCTCCTGAATGCTGGGATTATAGGGAAATGCCACCATGCCCAGCTCTATAGCTTTTCCAAACTGTTATTAATTATGGATTTCCCACTGATAATTACTAGTATATTCCTGTACTTGGAACATCACCTGTTACATTTAATGAGTTCACCTGCAAGTTTGTGTGTGCAAGTGTATATGCACAAGCATGTTTGTGAGATGCTAGAGATGGAACCCAGAAATGTTAGCCAAGCCCTGTATCACAAAACTTACCCATAAGCCCCTATTGATAGGTTTTGGTTTTTTGCTTGTTTTGTTTTATTTTGTCTGTGGTCCTGGGGTTGAACTCAGGGCTTTTGCATTGAGCTATATCCCTGATCAATTTTTTTTGGAGACAGTGTCTTAGCAAGTCATTTAGCTACCCAAGCTGAACTTTCACTTGTGATCCTTCTGCCTTAGCCTTCCTGAGTGGTAGAAGTACAGGCATATACTACCACACATAGCTATCTACGGGATTTTTACATAGATAAAAATAATTTCAAGAAACCATGGATGGTTTCAGCTCTTCCTTTCCAACCTTACTCCTTTTCCTTATCTCGCTACACTGGCTAGAACTCTAAAGTATGGTGTCAAACAGAAACTGATTAAGCATTCTTCTCTTCCTGCCTTTAATGCACACGCTTCCACAGTTCACAGTCAAGTCTGAGTTCTGCTGAAGGTTTTTAAATCATCCATTTTTAAAATGGAGTACTACTCAGTCATAAAGAAGCATAAACTGGAGACTTTTATCAGCAAATGGATGCACCTTGAGACCATGCTCATTAGTGAAATAAGACACACATGTGTAAACACTGTATTATCTCAGTAGTGTGAGAAGCTGAAAGAAATAACATATGTATATGTATATGAAAAAACAGTTACTGTAGTTATACTACTGATTTCTCTGAGTTCACTGAAGACAAAGATTCATGCTGGCACTGTTCAGACAACTGAATGAAGATGTCTTGTACTACGGGTAAATGAGTTGGGGATGACAATGTGCAAGTACATACCACTGCCACTCCGACTGACATGCTTTGAGATTTTTAGTTTCTTTTTCTCCTTGAAATAAAATGAATTTGGAAAAAAAATTTAACAATAAAATCATTGGTTATTGAAGGAAGCTCCCTTACATAGGAGTTTGCTAGTGATTATGATCATGAAAGACTTTAAATGTTAACACACGGAATGAAAATGGGGACTTCTCGGGAGATGGCAGAGTGATAAGCAGCAGAGAAAGAGCCTCTCCGGGATTTGGTGCCCAGACCTTGCCATACAGCAATATGAAGGGGAGAAGATGGAGAGAGGTGGGTCTCCAGGACCCAGGAAGGATCTACAGCCTACAGGGAGAGCGTCAGCGAGGCAGGAAGCAGCAGGCTGCACGTTCTCCCTGAGCCCGCACACACTGTATGGGAGGAGCAGCGTTAACCTGGAGACAAACGGTGACTCCTGGCGACCGCAGAGGCCTCCACAGAGAAGTGTACCAGGGAGCAGAGCCGTGGATGAAGCAGACTACAGATGTCCTGCAGCAGAGGGTGACTGGCCAGGAGCCATCCTGGAGAGGGGCCAACTGAGCTCAGAATCAGAGCAGCTGCTGGCTCCACTCAGCAGCTCCCAGCCGACTTCACACTGACACGTGGACTGCTGCCTGCTGAACGGCTCTGGCTCCTGACTCTCGGCCGGAAAGCAGCCCACACTTCAGTGGAAACCAAAGTGCAGCCTCACTGGGATTATCTGCTCCCCCAATAAAAAGCTACTGTTGGCTTGCTAGGACTAGTTAACATGGGTCTGAAGTCTTCCTGCATTGTCTATGAATGACAGCAGAAACAAACCTTGAAGCGGACATTTTTTCTTTTTTTCTTCTCTCTTATCTTGTTTATGTTTTCTCTTCATTTTCTTTCTCTTTGTTTTATGAATGTGAACATGGCTTCTAGTTTTGTTGATGCTGTTCTCTTCTTGTTTTTATTTCTTCCCTTTCTTTCTCTCGCTTCCCAGTTGCGTGATCCTCCTTTGTCCTTCAGCCTTTCTTCTAATCTCTTCCTCTTTTTTTTTTTTTTTTTTTTTACTGGTACCAGGGATCGAACTCACAACCACGTGCTTACAAGGCAGGCACTTAGGCCTGCTGAGCTAAATCCCCAGCCCCTCCTCTTCTATTTCTTTATTTTTTTTCCCTAACCTCTTTTAAATCTTCTTCCCAGAGAGTAAAACTGCCATACTGATGACTTACTTACTGTATACAATTATCTGGTCCATTTAAGATTTTGATATATAATCACAAATCTAGTTCATACAGTTAAAGGTGGCAAATTAATATTTACCTCAGTTTGTCATTTTCTAGGCTGTGTTTGATGCTATTGTCATTGCTGTTCAGTCTACGTTAGCCAAATGACATAATTGTTTTACCCAGTTGTTCTTGGTGTGCCAAGACTGAGATTGCCTAAGGGTCATAAAAATAACAGAGGCCAGTGCCAAAGAGCTAGGGGCTCTGCCAAGTAGGCAGCAACTTCTCACCCCAATAACTGAAGAGGTAGGATCTTGCAACAGACTCTAAATCCCAAAGCCAGCTACACGGGAAGAAAACCTCTGAGAAGCAGTCATTCCTTAAGGGCTCTAAACACCAGCAGCCATAGACAATTTAGAAGCATCAACCTAGGGATTAAACTTAGAAAAGAAAGAAAGGGTTATGATAATGATAATGGTGCTCTTTGCTCTCACACCGCTCATTAACAGGTTTAACTTGGAATCTTTGGATTCTAGGAGCAGATCTGACTTATCAATACGCTGCTAAAATGGGTTTGCTAGTGTTTTATTTATGATTTTTACATTTACATTCAAAATAAGGTTGGCCTATACATTCTTGTGCCCGTTTGTTCTTTTATAAGACAGGGTTTCACTATTCAGTCCAGGCTGGCCTTGAGTTTACTTTGTAGCCCAGACTGGTCTCCAACTTGGGATCCTCCTGCCTCAGTTTCCCAAGTGTGTAACCACATTAGGTTTTCCTTATTCTTGTTCAGTTTTGGTATAGGAATTATACTGGTCTCACCAAATGAACTTGATGATTATCTCTCTTCCATATTCTCTGAGAAAATGTGTATATAATGTAGGGATTATCTATTCTCGAAGCAGCTATAAAAACTACCTATAAAACCATCTGGGGTCCTTAAGGACAGGAAGGATAATAGATTCAGCTTATTTTATATGCTTAAGTTTCTTTGTTCTCTTCTCATTCTGAGTAAAGGCAATACTCTTTATCACCAGCACACTGCACAGTTAATTCAACACTGACCATCTGCATCTCCCCACTAGAACATATGTTTTGTGGGACACAAACCTTGCTCCTTGGTTGACTAAGGACCAAATACACTGCCTGGCCTGGAGTGAGCACTTAATAACATTTGTTAATGAATCTTGGTAATTTCCATCCATCTTTAAGTTATGAAATTTATTGACAAGTTATTCATAATACCAGTTTTAAAATTTCTACTACATTTATATTTAGGACCTTTTGACTTATTTGTGCCTTTTCGTTTATATTTTGCTATTTAACCTCTAATCTTAATCTGTTTAGTCTATTTAATTATTTCAGGTAAACACCTCTGAATTTGTTGATTCTCATATTTCTTTCATTTCTGCTTTACTATTTTCTTCTTTTATTTTTTTAGATTTTTTCTAGCTTGTTTTACTTTTTAATAAATGAATTTAAGCGACAAATTTGCCTCAAGTACCATGTGAGCTGCAATACATACACAATATGAACCCTGTGACAGTAGGTTTTACTCATTATGCTTCCTTATTACTTAGTAATTCATGGTGTATTTTCTGAAGGACGGACATTCTTGTATGACTACAGTACAGTTACAGAATTTGAGAGCATCAATAGATACAACACATTTAACTCCCTGCACTAAATCTCTCCCCGCTGCCCACCTGGGCCCAGCTGGCACTGAGGACCACTGCTGTGTAACCCAGACCAAAGCACCTGTGCTCAGGCCCTTTTGAGGCTTTTCTCTCTCTCATGTTCTGGCACTATTTTTCTGTTTTGATCTTCGACGAATGTAGCTGCTTTTCTTCGTTTCACTGGGTGTACCCTTTACAATTCCTTGCTTACTGTACATACACCCATAATCCTAACACTACGGCGTGGGGAGCTAGGCAAGAGGATCTCAAGTCTGAGCCAAACCTGAGTAACAGCAGCTTAGACCCTGTCTCAAAATTAACAATTAAAAAAGGGCTGGAGATATAGCTCAGTGCAAGGGTCCTGGGTTCAATCCTTAGTACCACAAAAAGAAAAAAGAATGGCACCAACCCAAGGAGCATCAGGTAGATAAGCAGTCATTCATAAGTAGGCAAGTAGGCATGTAAGGTTACAACACTCACACTAAAGTTGCTTTCAAATGTAATGGTACACACCAGAAATCTCAGTACCTGGGAGGCAGAGGCAGGAGGATCACTGCAAGTTCAATGTCAGTTTGAACTACATAGTGAGATCTTGTTTCAAAAACCAAAACAAAACAAGACACCTTATACAGAAATTTTATTGCCTTCCAAGCAAAAAAAGAAGAAGAGCAGGGGGCTGGGGATTTAGCTCAGTGGCACAAGCACCTGCCTTGCAAGCACGGAGTCGTGAGTTCGATCCCCAGTACCATTTTTAAAAAAAGGAAAAAGACAAAAAAATAAAAAATAAAATAAAATAAAAAGAGGAAGAGGAAGCAGATAAGGAATTCAAAACCACAAAGAGAAAAAGTGCTTAGTCTTAAAAAAAAAAAAGGAGGGCTGGGGATTTAGCTCGGCAGTGTAAGCGCTTGCCTGGCAAGTGCAAGGTTGTGAGTTCGATCCCTGGTACAATGAGTAGCTGCACCCCTTCCTGTAGCTATCAACAGACTGAAAAGTGAGGACTGTCTGCTTACTGATAGAAGGATCCAATGTTTATCAAAGTCATATTTTACTCACTATATCCACAAAGACTTTACTCTGACTTTTATAGGTAACATAAAAGGGACTTTGCGAAAAAATATTTGCAAGCCATATTCCTGATAAGGGACTTGAGATCCAGAACACATAAAGAACTCTTACAACATAACAAATAGACAAATAACTCAATTAAAAAGAGGCCAAAGGCCAGGAGTAGTGTTACATGCCTATAATCCCAGCACTCAGGAGGCTGAGGCATGATACAAATGACCAATAACCACACAAAAAGAAGCTCCATAAACACCATTAGTCATGAGGGAAACATAAACCAACACCACACTGAGGTACACTTGTACACCCAGCAGGATGCTGAAAATTGACAGACAACGTCACACTTTGATAAGAACATGCAGCAACGGGAGTCCTCATGCACTGCTGCTGGAAATGCAAAATGGACTAACTTCTTGTTTTTTGTTTTTTTTGTCTTTCTTGTTTTTATCGGTACCAGGGATCGAATTCATGACTGCCGGCTTGCAAGGCAGGGGCTTATGCCGCTGAGCTAAATCCCCAGCCCCAATGGACTAACTTCTTAGAAAACAGTCTGGCAGTCTCTCAGAAGGTTAAACACAAGACCATCACATGATCCAGCAAGTTTTACTCCTAGGAATGTAGTTGAGAGACAGGAAAATCTACAACCACACAAAAACTTGCAGGAGTTCATAGCCACATCATGTATGACAGCCAACAATGTAAACTTGGATTCCATCACAAACAGTCCTACTGTGAACAGATAAAATGCAGGACATTCACACAATGGAACAGTGGCAATTAAAAGGTATGAACGACTGATAAATGCTTCAGCATGGATGACCTTCAAAAACACTGCATAAGAAGCCAAGCCAGGCATGGTGGCACACACCAATCCTGCCAGCCCTTAGAAGGCTGAGACAGGGGGACTGCTGTGAGTTCAAGGTTGTCCTAGGCTACATAGTGAGTTTAAGGTCAGCCTGAACTACATAATGAGACTCTGTCGCAAAAAATGGATAGATTAAAAAAAAAAAAAAAAAAAAAACATCAGCACCAGCAGCCAGTCCAAAGAATTACATATTGTATGATTCTGTTCATATGAAATGTCCACAATAAGCAAAGCAGAGAGCGTTTTAATAGCTCCCGATGGATGGAGAGAAAGTAGGATCACTGCTAATAGATATGGACTTTCTTTCTGCAGTGAGGAAAATTATCTAGAATTGATCGTGGTGGCGCTTAACAACACTGTGAGTGTACTAAAACCACTGAAGTGCTTACTTTGAATGAAGGAGTTGCATGGAAGCAAATTATATCTTAATAAACATCTAAAAGAAGCCTGAAGACTGGTCACTAAGCAACCTCCGATGCTTTCATTTGGATACCTATCTCATCATCACCTGGAGCTCATCATGTTCTAATGGGGTCATTATCTTACTGTGCAACTCAGACCCATTATGCCACACTGTAAGGTGTACTTTCTCTAAGCATTGTTTTTCAAAGCGTCATTACAATGTCACTCCTTATGTAAAGTCTTTACAGACTCCCTTCTATGCATCAAACCAAGGCAGCACCTTAGTAAGAGCCAAAGGTCTTGCCGAGGTAGCCATTACTTCCTCACAAATACACACTGTGCAGGATCCACACAATGCAACCGTTTTTCATTGCAATTACTCAATTCCTTATTGCCACTGATAACCCAGAGTCACAGCAATGTTTCCCACTGGACACGTGATGAATTATGCTACTCAGTCACCTTCCGGGAGCCTCACACGTACCATTTCCCCTCCACACTTCAGCTAAATGGCATCCGCCTTCTCCAGGTTCCTTGCAAAACTCTACAACATCTCGACAGGTTGTTTCCGGTGTTATAGGAACTTCTGTTAAAATCTGTTCATTGTTGCTCAAGAATACGGTTAATATCATCTGTAAGAGAAAAGATTAAAACTCAAATTTAGATTCCTTACTGTGAAAAGTTTAATCTAAAACTTTAAGGTGACCCCTCCAACATCGTGCTTCCCAAATGCCTGCAGGATTACTTTCTAGAAACAGAGACGCTGATTCTAAAGTTCTTGTGAAAGGAAGGAAAGTAAGAGAAGATGGGGGAGCTTCAGAGGCATGTCCGGGAAGAACCAGCACGACAGACACTTGCAGCCTCAAAATCCCACCCCAGTGACACAAGGAGCAGAGGGCAAACACGTCCCACACGAGAGCCAAGTCCACACAGAAAGATGAGAAACCACACAAGTGGTTCTGCAAAATCAAGGAAGGGAAAGAACTACATGATGAATGATGGCTGAGCAACTAAACACTTATCTAGAAAAACAACTCGATTTGTACCATATCTTACACTAGCAAAAGTTCCTAAAAGATCAAATATTTATATAAAAATCATAAGTCTCTAAAAATTCTAGAATAAAACCTAGGTTAATTCTCTCTTATAACAGCAACATACAATGCCTTTTCTAACTATGATTCAAACATGAAACCAGGCATGGCGGTACATGCCTATAATCGCAGCACTCAGGAGGCTGATGCAGGAAGATCCCAAGTTCAAGTCTCATTTGGACAATTTTATGAGAATGTTTCAAATTTTTAAATGATAACAACAAAAACAGTAATGGAGCTAGCAAGGAGCTAGCTCAGTGTCAGGATGCCCATGGGTTTGATCCCCAGTACCAAAACCAAAACAAAATAAAAAAGTTCTACCACTTTGACTGAAAGTCTTAAAACATCACAGTGGAAGAGACTTTTAAAATACGGTATCTGTAAATCACAATTTAAACCAAAGATGTTCCTCAATAAGAAAGCATTATGAAGTATTTCTATTTAATTTTTTTTATCAAAAATGAGAAAACAAAACTTTTGTGTTCCAAAACGCTCTCTTCCCTTAAAATCTCTATTGGTTGGGCTGGGGATTTAGCTCAGTAGCATAAAAACCTGCCTGGCAAGCACGAGGTCATCAGTTCATCCCTAAATATAACTTCAGTTCACTGTTAAATTCTCTCCCTCAGGAATGCCCCAATGCCTGAATACTGAAATTAAATGCATTAGTACTAACAGTCACATTTTATGTTAACAGTTTTGAACTAGTTTCCTTCTGCTACCAAACTCCCCCACTCCAACCTAGCCTCCACTGGCACCAGGTCATTTCTTTAAAGATCAATCAAGTGAAATCATTTCCTGCCTAAATACTGAGGACTCACCAAGGACCGACAGCAGCCCTTTCCGAAACACTCTACCTACCCAGCCAACAGGCTTCTTTCCCCTTGTGTCTAATGCACTGATGTTCATATGAAGAGACTTGCGGGAAGCCTAGATTTCCACAGGACACACTCAGAGAAAACCTATCTTCTAGGATGAACTAGACCCCTACTCCTTCTAACCACTTACTCCTTGTCGCTAAGGAAGTTCTCCCTGGCCACCTTCCCTCTACCAAAACCCCCTTCCTGTTGCTGTAAACTCCTATTTACAGAGCTCTCCCAACCTCCATTATCCCCAGTGAGCACCAAATGCTCGCCTCCCCTCAGGGGACTTCGCCTTCCAGGCAATCTGCTATTGAATCTTCCATCTCAGTGGCCCACTCAGTGCCCAGTGCGTAGTGAGTGCACAGGATAAAATCGGGCCAACCTCGAATGTGACATACTGACACAGAACTCCCACGAGGCCCTAGACCTGAGAAGACACACACACATAACTGCAGCACAACACATCAGCTGTGTGCCGAACAAGCATTATTTGCTTTTCACACACACATTGTTCTTTTGGTGTTGGTGATTGTGCCCAGGGCCTCGGCATGCTAAGCACATGCTCTGCCCCTGAGTTACACCCAGCCCCTTTTATTTTTTATTTTAAGATAGTTTCCCTAAATTCCCCAGGATGCTCTTACATGTCTGATCCCTGTGTGTCAAGTCTCCTGAGTAGTGGGTATTACAGGTCTGCACCAACACACTCAGCTTTAGAAGTAGAGTTCTTTAGGAACACAATGTCAGAACGGAGAGTGGCAAGACTATTTTGGAGCATCTTTTGAATTACCAACACTTTTCAACTGATGACATGTTCAGTGTAAGAAAGGGGGGAGGAGAAGCAGAATGGGCTCTGAGTCTGAACAGTTACTTTTAAACACTAATAGCTACCAAATAATTTTTACAAAAGCCATTTTTTGTGTTCTATTTCATAGGCTTTAATAACTCTAATTTTACCCAATTCTAGCAAAATTCATTTTATAAAAAATTTTGAAGAGGAAAAAAATATTTCAAAACAATGGGAGGGTAACAATGGTGACCAGAGTGTATATTATTATCTTTAAGTCAGTTCTTCAGAGTGCAAGATATTGGCATTTAATTGCCCAAACAACATCAGTACAAGCCTTTCTTCTCAATGAACTAACAGAAGTAGTATAACAACCTTAACTATATATATACAGTATATATATATATATATATATATATATATATCTCCTATATTTTTTTTTCTTCTCTCAGCATTCTTTTTGCCATTCCCCCATTCCAGCTTTTCTTTCCTTTTAAAGCTTCTTCCCATTTTACAATACCCATTGTGCAAAATTCATTTTCCCTAGTCTCCAATACTCCAAACCAAATGCATTATAACCATGACAGATTTAAAAACACTCAAGGTGAACCCCCTGCTGCTCCCTGGATGGTACCTGTGTCCCTAAAGCACCACCTGTGAGGAAAGCTGACCTGAAAGGTTCTCCAGCACAACACTGCATCGACTTGGGAGTGGTTCCTGTATATATTCCTCCACTCTGGAATCACAATGCATCTCATAATTGACAGCAAACAGTTTAATCAGTAATGTTACTTTTGCTTTAGTAACATGTATAAACTGGGTGTGGTGGCACACATCTGTAATCCTAGCACATGGGAGGCTGAGGCAGGAGGATCGCAGTGAGTTCAAGGCCAGCCTGGGTTACACTGAGAGTTTCAAGGCAACCTGAACTGCACAGTGAGATCCTGTCCCAAAAAGACAAAAATAAACAAATAAAATATACAAAACAGAGGAAACTCAGTAGGATCAGGGAACTAAAGAAAACAGCTAAAGGAAAAAAGAAAAGAACTTAATGTGTTTATTCCTCCTAAAAGCCCAACATGTTGAAAAGGGAAGATATGCTTAGCTGTTGGGAGCCGCCGACACCGGTCGCCTTACTTGGCGGACGTAGGGCCTGTGGGTGGGAGCGGAGCCTGAGCTAGATTGCCCCTCCCATCGAGTGAGTCAAGTTGGCGCCTGCTTCCTGCCCCCTGATTGCGCTGGCGACTTAAACAACCCGCTCTGTAAGATAGTCTGCCTAGCAACAGCTGATGTTAGCCAGTCAGCCCGCATCGCGCGCTTTAAACTGATTGGCTACTGTTGCCCTATAAAAGTGAATGCCTCTCCCGCCACGAGAGAAGCACAGAGAAAGCGCAGAGAGAGATAGAAAAAGTCCACCGGCGAGAAAGGGCTGGTGGCAGAGTGGAGGCCTCGCGGGGCCCACGCGGAGATAAATAAAGGCAAGGTTGCACACCGCCAGACTTTGTCGTGTGTCTTTCCTGCCGGCCGGGAGCGACCCTGACACTTAGCTACAGGAAGAAAACAGACAATGTGCCAGGAGGAAGATCGTGCGTGCTAACAGGACCCTGCTCGGCACCCTGGCAGCCACCAGCTCTAGCCACCACCGTCCCACCTCGCCCGCCCGCCCGGCAGTGACTCCTCTCCACCCTCCTCTAAGGACTACAGCTCCTTCCCCTCCCACAGCCTGACACTGCAGCCTCAGTGCTCTTGACCTCATCCTCCACTTAAACAGTGTTTGGGACTCACAAAGTGAATTGCGGCCCATTACCTTGTCTTGGAATCATCTGAGTCTCATCTGTGACATACTTCTTAGTGGAAAAAAGTGTGATGAGCTCAGAACTACACAGGCACTGAAGGCAAAGATGGGTTTTCTCCCTAGTGTGTCGTCTGAGTATAATGCTAGATACTGCGGGAGTACAAACAAAGGGTGCGAGGCAGGAGGCAGGCGGCCATATCCAGAAAGACATCCCGGGGCCCTTGCTTTCAAAGGCACCTCAAACTGTGTAAGAAAGCAAACAGAATCAAAAAATCACTAACTTAAGTAATCCATACACTCTTCAAAAAATTTTCCAAATGGTGTTTAAATGATGTTCTTGACACAAATTAAGAATGTGCTACACATTTCTCAGATGAAGATATACAAATGACAAATAAATACATGAGGAAATGTTCACCTTCACTGATCATTTGAGAAATGCAAATTAAAACAGCACTGAGATTTCATTTCACTCCAGAAAGAATGGCTGCCATCAAGAATCAACTGATAATAAATGTTGATGAAGCTGCGGGGGAAAAAAAAAACACTTCTCCACTGTTAGTGTGAGTGCAGACCGGTGCAACCACTGTGGAAATCAATATGGAGATTCCTCAAAAAAAAACTAGGATTTAAAGTTCCATTCAGTCCAGCTATTCCCCTCCTGGGTATTTTCCCAGAAAAACTGAAAAGGTCCTGTCACGGTGCTATATGAGCACCCATGTTTATAGCAGCACAGTTCGTGATAGCTAAATCTTGGAGACAACCAAAATGCCCATCAACTTCAGAGTGGATGAAAAAAATGTGGTATTTTTATACAATGGAATATTACTCAGCTATAAAAAAGATGATCTTGAGGCCTTTATAGGTAAATGGAGACAACTTAAGACTATCCTCATAAGTGAAATAAATAAGACCCACATTTGTAAATATCACATTGTCTCTCTACTGTAAAAGATAAAAAATTGAAAGAGTAGTAAGATCCAAAATGTATAACAGAAATTGAGGAAGTGAAAGGGAGGGAAGGTGCTCTAAAGGATATAACTGTATGTATGTTGAAGTGTGTAAGATAGATGACCATATTACTGTTTTCATTAGATCA